CTATTTGTTGTTCGTTCTTCACATTCCAATAGAAAACTTGCCTTTCGATAATTTTCTTTTCGAAAACAGATCATCGATTTAAGTGACTCAAAACAAGAGCTTAACTAGAAATCAACACGGTATTATAGGGTGAACGCGTATTATTTTCTTTTTGCGAATCATTGCAATGCGAACAAAAACAACAACATTTATTTTTGGTCATTTGTGAAGAAAAATTTTGTTGATTGTTGGCATGCGTGTTTTTTGTTCGCTTCTATTTTCCTAGCCCCATGATTAATAAAGCAAAATCACTGAAAATTGTGCTTTTTTCGGGGTTGCAACTTGTAAAAAAGGATGCCAGAGGTTAAGTAACAGAGAACTGGGTAATGGATGTCAAGATGGATGACATGGGGGAAAAAAACGAAATTGATTCATTTATCAATTGGTTGACAGTTACTTCAATCGCACTTAATTTGGAACTGACTAAGCCCGTTTACAATCAATTCCGTTTACTCTGGATTCAAAGCGAGAGAGAGAGAGAGCGAGAGTGAAGTAGAGTGAGAGAGCTAAAGAGAACGAGTGAGAGAATGATAGTTTGTGCGAAAACAACCGAAACATCAACGGATGACGCCACATCGCTGCATTTTGGGTGGTGGTGCGACCACAGTTTTGGACCAAAGATTATGTCATAAGAATGTGTATGAGTGAGTGCCTCTTTCGTTCATGTTTATTATGCGTACACTTTGCGTTTTTACATGTGAATTTAATTTAATTTCATGCCATCAATTACACACGATGGCGTGGCGCGTTTGTGGTATTTCGCGCCATACAAACGCACACACAACAATGCCATCAACGACAAACGGGCATGCAAGCAACGAATTTTGGGCCAAGAAAATGCTCAAAATGTGGCCATTTGTCATCACAAACTGACGTAATGCGATGGTTTTTATGCCATTGTTTACTTCCATGCGCTAAGCCGCTTTTACCGTTCAAATGCAAGTTTTGTCATTTTCTTCACAACGAAAATGGAAGAAGAAAAATTGACCAAATTATGAGAGCCAATTCATCAAGATTTTCATACAGCAAACGATTTATACACTTTCCCCGTCCCCATTTTCGTACAACATACTTGTTCAGCGGGATTAACAACATAAGAAATTCAATTTGTCTGGCAACTCAAAATATTCAAGTCTGCCGAGAATTCCTTTATTTTCTTCGAAAACCAAGAGAAATTCGTTGAAAAGAAGGATTTTTGCAAAAATTCATTTCTTCGCGCTTTTTCTTGAATGAACGCGACTTTTTTTCGAAGCGACTCAATTCCAAATTTAGAAAAAATAAAAAGTTTTTTTTTCCCTAGTATTTCTTCTCCATTTAGTCTCTGGAAGTCCGTTGTGAAATTTCACAACAACAAAAAACCGATGACTGCGTAGTAGGAGGCGTCGTATTGTCATTTTGCAAAAAATTGAAACTATTTTGATCAGCATAATCATCAAGAATATGGTTGGTGTACGTACACAGTGTGTACAAAATCAAATTCGCTTCAATTCTCCATTCTCAATTCCGTCTCATTTGCCAATCGATTGCTTTTTTATGTTCAACGCAATTGGATGCATAGCACAATTGTTTGCGTCAAAATTACAGAATTTCAAGATGATGGCGGTGATGATGATAGTGGTGGTGGCAGAAGCGATGTGGTGGTGATGATGTGACAGAGGTTTGAGGTGTGCAAAGAGCTAAGAGAGAGAGGAAAAAATCCACTTGAGTTTATGAAAAACGACATAATCAATAGAAACGATAAATTGTGAAACGCAATTGACGATTTGTGAAAATGCGCTTCGAAAACCTTGATTTACACTAAAACTAACCATTGAGAAAAAAGCAATTAAAGTCTCAATTCCCAACTCCATCTCTCTCTATCTTTCTTTTGTTGTTTTCGATTTTCCGTTTGCCACTTTGCTTGCATCCTTGAGTAGTCGAGCAGCCATGAGCGAGCGAGCGAGCGAGCGAACGAACGAGAGCAAATACAGCGAGAAGAAGCATGAGAGAGATAGAGCGAGAGAGAGAGAGAAAAAGCACAAAAGTTAGAGAAAGAGCATGCGAGGAAGAGTGAGAGCGAAAGAGAAAGAAAAAGAGTCGCGAGACGCGAGGGCGAGAAGAAAATGAAGCGATACGAAATCGAACATAATGTGAGAATGTAAAAAACGTGAACAAAATTAATTACGACTGTTAATTATGTGTTATTACATCGAAATAATAAAAATCAACCGAACCTGATCGGTCTGTGTGTTCGATCCATGTCCAGAAACATGAAAATGTAATAAAAATGCGAATCCAAGAGTTTCGTTTGTTTCTTGATGGCCCCAAACACTCCATAGTCCATACCACATTAGTACTGAATACGGAGGGGAGGGGGGGTTGGCATAGTGCTATAGTATTACAATGGCATGGCTGCCCGGGTCGGTGTAATAAATCATCGATACGACAAAAAGCACAACCATTTCGTCGTAGTCGTTGTCGTCCATTGTTCACACCATGTCCCGTGCTTATGTTTTGCTCGAATTTGATGATGAAAATGGAAAAAGCAGCCAGAAAAATCCATCTAGAGTATATACTAATGTGATCAATCAATTAAAATGGTAGAATCTTGCTAAGAGGTTACAATAAGTAGCCAACAATTAAAAGCATCGACCAGGCAACATTGCATTTTTCGATTGAAAAACACTTCATTAATTATTGTGTACCGTCATTTCCTAGCAACACAATTGTGTCATGTGCCAAATGCCAGCCAACACGATCATGCACCTTAGGCACGCGCGAGTCTCTTCAACAATACACAATCGAATTCTTTTGCCTCTTTTTCTCTCTCCAGTCGCCTGCTCCATTTCAACCAACAAATTACCGCCGCTTTTCTTTTGCAATCAATTTCCACTCAATTTTCTCTCCCCCACTGTCTATTTCATCAATTCACATTGTCAATCATGCCATTGCAAATTGTTGCGTCGCACCACTTTTGGGTCATATCGACTCGTTGACTATATACTCGTGTATTTGGAAAAACATCGAATGCCAAAATATGTCCAGTTTTGCTGCATAGAAATGGTTTCAAAATACGTGCGGTTTCGTTGTTCGGTCCCCAAAAAAGTGCTTCCATTGAAATAATTAATAATAATCCATGGGTATGATTTATGGGATTTCGAGTGAAAAGAGAATGCGGTTGGCGCACAATTATAAGATGCGAGGGAGGAGCGCACAGTGGGATGAGTACGACAGGACAGATTGTATCATTCCCATGCACAAGTTTAGTGATGGTGGTGGTAGCTCTGGGCCAAATAGCGGTTACAAATGATATTTTGATTAATGCGATTCAATGTTATAGAAAAATTGACCATCATTTTATTATGACATTTGTGGTGTGTGCGATGATGCACGTAAAATCCAATCCGATCAGCGAGCCGATTTGGTTTCGACGATGGATGAAAATTGTGATATGGCCAATAGCCATCGGATTATTATCTCGGTTCGATAAATTTAATTGAACAAATATGCATTTGGTTGGACAAATTCGACCGATTTTGTTGTTTTTTTCTTCCTTGTTTGGCCGGAACAAACCACATTTCCTCTACTGATTTGGATTTGGTTGGATTCAAGTGCTTAAAAATTCATACCGCGTTTTGTTCGTGCACTTTGCATTCAATCTATGCTGTGTTTATGTGTTTTTTTTTTCCTTTTTGTCGAGCATGACCAAAGAACGTAATGAAAAAAATTCGCCAAAGAGGACAATGGACTATAAAATAATCGGTTTGATGTCACGAAATTCCCTAGCTACAAAATAGAGCAACCACAGCTAATCGTTATATTTCACCGAAAATATTTTATTATGAATAAAACAATTTGTTGTTCATTTTCTCGACAAGTTTTTCAATGGTGCGTCACTTTTTTCGGTTCGCCGTTTGCATTTTTATTGCAATCAACCATTTTTCCCGCGTCAAGTTGTGTTTTGCATGTCATATTTGTGTGTGAGTGAGAACCAGAAATGGAGAGAGGGCAAGAGAGATCCATGTCCAGAGCGCGCGGAAAGATTGGGATAGGGTGAGAGAGGGGGAGCAAACGAGCGAAAGCGAGATAGAGACAGAGCAAGAGAGCGAAGGAGAAAGGAGGGAAGAAAGAAGACGGAGAACGCGGAAGCGAAAAAAAAACGGCAGCAACACGGAAAGCTTCGCAATGATTCAATTGAGAACGGAAGCGGATTCGTTGTTGCCCGTGTATGTTTACAATCTAGATCATGGTGTGATTCCGTGTCTTCATTTTGAATACCAACAACAAAGAGGTCGAATCGTTTTTGGTGTGAGATGCGCTTTTGCTAGTCGCTCATACGAAAGTTCATCATCTGCTGACGCTCTCTTTGCAAACACTGGTGTTAAACTGTGTATACTTTGGTTCCCCCCCCTCTCTCTCTCTCTCTCTCTCTCTCTATAAATAAAAATATTTGCGCTTTTCGAAAAAAAATTCAAATGAAATAAACATTAATTAGAATGCAAGAATAATGCGTTTCGACCGAAAAGCGAAGGGAGAGAAGGAGAGAAAAGTTCTTCTTTTGCAAACGAGAAAGAAAGAAAGATAGAATAAAAGCGAAAATAAACATGCACACCTATGAGTATGCAGCGAATGTATTTTGTAAGCAACACTTGTGCTTGTTGTTGTTCAATCAAATGCTAACCAGTGGTAAGTGGTAAGGGGTTCGGGCAACACAATTTATTCAACCAAACTCCATGCATTTCAAATTTTGATTCATAACTCGAACAAAAAATGCAATTTGCATTCCACATGCGACACACACGCCATTTGTTTCTTTTTATGTTTTTGTTTTGGATTTATTGTTGTTCTTTTTTTCTCGACTTGTTTGTGTGTATATTTTTGATTTTACTTCTGTTGTTTCAGTTCAAATCGAAATTGGTCTGCTCCAAAAACCGGAAATTAAAACGAAAAAAGAGTTGAAATATAAAATGGGGTTCACTTACCAATAGCACGAAACATATGAGCATTCCGTGATTTTCGGAAAGAGCATTATATTCGCATCGTTTGACATTTTGTTGGTTGTGAGTCGCTGTTGGCCGGTCGTATATTGTGTTCCAATGTTGTTACTGTTCTTGTTGGTTGTTTGGTTGTCTATTGTTAAATTTATCGTTCTTTCGTTCAATCGTTTTCAATTGTTCCTCGTTTCAATTTTTGCTTCAACTTCAGTTTCGATTTCGATTTCAATTTTAATTTCAATTTGATTTTTCTGTCAAAAATTCCATATTTTCGGGGTCTAACTACACACTCGTTTTAAAAGTGTTCATCACAAAAGCATCAGCGTTTAGTTTTTTTTTATTAGTTTTTGATTTTATTTTTCTGCTCAGAGTTCACAAACCTTTTGAAGAGTCGATAAATTTTGGGTTTTATTTGTATCAATTCAATGTTGTTCAACTGAAAATATTGTTAACCATTTGTGTTTAAGCTGTCTGAAAATTTATTGTATATTTTTGATGTTATTCAGTGGGTTTTGCACGGATTTGTTGCTGTAAAAGCAGTCCGAGTGATGCGCACCAAAGGGTTTCGTGTCAACCGTCAAAACGCTATTTTGCACTTTTTATGCGGCATTACATCAACACCGATACCATATGCATTTGTCCAACTACTGAACGTTTTTTTTTACTTCAAATTTTAATGGAAAATGAAGAAGAAAAATCAACAAATTTTCTTCTGAGAATTTTCTTTTCACTTCGGGTTTTTAATGTCAATTTTTTATGGCTTTAAACTAAGATCCAGGTTTGACTGTATTTTTTCACACTCGACTTGTTCTGCACCGTATTTCTCTCTGAGTTTACTCATTCATTCATTTATTATTCCTATGAATTACACCAGAATTATTTGCAGTCTCATCAAACGTAGGTAAATTCGCTGATTGGAAATAGTATTTTTCTTCAGTTTCACCCTTTTTTCCGGTTTTTTTCCGAAATTCCAATGTCCTTTTTACAAATTGTTTTCTACTCTGTTTACTCAATTGTTGTTCGTCTCTAGAAGGATATTGGGTGAGAAAAAGCCACTTTCAAGTATTTCGTTTAATCGATCGAAATGCAATGATTTCGATAAATAAACCGACTGACCGAACGCGAACAACCGAAAACGGCTGTTGTTTTTTTTTTACAACACACGAACACACACAACAGAAGAGACAGTCTCGCATTAAGAGCCTTTTTTTTGCTCTACACGTGCGTACGCATACTTATGCGATGCAACAGAGAGAAATGGGAAAAAAAGCAACCAGTTCCACTGCAGTGTGCATATTGCACAATGTAAATACAAAGAGCACACAGACAGACACCGATCCCGTACGGTCGCAAACGCAATAGGAGCGAAGCGAGAAAAAAACAACAACAAATAATAGCCTGTCTGGTTTTCTCGGGTGTTTTGCTTTTCGATCTCGTGCAAATTTTTCGGCCGACGTCAATTTTTTCAATAGACGACTTGGTAAAATCCAACAGCAGCAACCACCACGAATAATAGCAGCCGACAACAAGAATCCACTTGGAATCAAATTCAATTCGACAATTCTAATAAAAATGCCGCACAATTTTTGCACAGACCGACAATTGTGGGCTGTTTAATGCGCGCAAGTGTGGATTTTTTTTTCTGTCCCACCGCGAAAATTGTTCTTTTTAATTCAACTGACGGTGAAAATGTATTTCATTGAAGAAAAGATGGAAAAAAACGCGCTCATCGGATGCTGCAGCGGTAGCGGCGGCGGTGGTGGCGGCGGAAATGCACTTTGATTTATTAATTTGTGTGTCGGAAAATGTTTTCACTCATGATTTGTTGTTATTGTTGGCGTGATTCAAATGTTGCTGCTCTCACTCTATCTATCGTTCTCTCTCTCTCTCTCTCTCTTCCGTTTTTTGTTGTTCTCAAAATCACAATTTATCCGATTGAAATTATACACACACTGACACTCGCAATTGAATGCAATTTCGATATGATTGATAAAATTTAATATCTCAAATGTCGGTCGGAATTGTTTTCGTTTTTGATTTAGTTTTTCGGTCAACAATTTTATGCACACTACGTTCAATCACAATAATTCAATTCCATTGATTGGTGTTTTTCAATTTATCAAAACGAAATGTTAATCAGCGACAAAAAATCAAAATAATTCTGTTGCACATTCCGAGGGTTGCCTCCTATTTTCGTCACACATACACACATTCACATTCACACTTGTGTTTGTTTTCGATTTTACGTTACACTACGTTTTCCACTATCGTATCGAATGAAACCATTAAATTTCGGCTGGAGCGTTAAGGCTGTTCGACCACCAAAACAGATTTTGTGAATGAAATGTTGTTGATATTTTCGTTTTGCTCATGAAATTGATTGGATGGCGGGGGAAGAGTATTCAACTCTCACCGATACACACACACACACACAGATGTGAGTGGAAAACACAGTGAAATAGCGACAGAGATTTTTCTTCTTTTCGTCGAAGGAATTTCTTTTTTTTTCGATTTAATTGCGAAAAGTGTTTAGAGTTTTAGTGTGTACGGAGACACACCAAACACACAGAGAGCGCGCTCACACCACGGGAAAATAAAGCAAATCGAAACAAACCTCCTTCACGGAACGCACATTCGATTCTGTTTTGTTGATATTTCGTCCCGTACACACCGAGCCACAGCCACAGAGCAAGACAGCCAAACACAGCCAAGTCACCGTTTTGACATCAATTTTTGTGTGTTGTGTATTGTTCGCTATTTGGTTCTGAGCATGTGTGTCGGCGCTTCTGGCATATTTTCCATTTAGAACTCTGCTTGCGTGAGATTCTCTTTTTTCCTTCTTCAACTGCTGCTCTGCTAAACTCAATTCCGCAACACCAGTTTGTTTTATGGTTTTGTTGTTGCTCACGCGCGTTCAATGCATCCAATTCGTTGGGAGATTTTTTTTTTGAAAAACAATCCGTCGTTACACTCAAAATTCCGATAGTCAATCAAACTGATTCTGGTCACTTGCACATGTGTTTACTAGAAAAATTGGGTTTTTGAATGTTCTACCGACAATTGTCACACTTGACATTTGCTCAGTCAAATCGTTGACATTTCAGTGTGCGGATTTTGCGGTATAAACGAAGTACTTGAATACATATTGCTTTCGCGATGACGATGAATGTGGCGCCATCTCGATGAAGCTTTACCAAGTTCAGCATGAAAAGTTTCACGTTCAATGTGGGACACTATTGTGAAATTTAACCACTGTTCGCCAAGTTTTGAATATGTAATTGGTTTTTTTTTTCGTTGGAGACTCAATTTTACTCGTTCGTTTTATTCATTTCCGGTTTTTTCTTAAGAGTTTTATATTATTTTTGGGAGTTCTGATCTAGATAAAGGTTTTCTTATTAAAACCGCAGTCATTGTTTGCTCTCTGCGTATTTGTACGAGACTTTTTAGTCACTATTTCACTCAAAGTGGTCAAAAAGGCCAACTTTACTCTTCGAAATGGATGAAATGACACACTCAACTCGACAAATTTGACAAATTCGACGAAAACTCAATTAGTTGACATTAAAAAGGAAGAAAAAAAATAATTTCAAAATTGTTCTAAGAAAGAACGAATTACCCTGAAATAACAAAAAAAAAACCACTCAAATGAGGCGTAATTCGGTTGATTTTCTTCCCTTTATTTTGATTGTACAACAAATACATAATTGATAGTGTCCATCAATAAAATGAACTTGACCGAGTTAAGAATTTTTCCGAATCAAAAACCAAATTTTAGTTTTGAAGGGAACGAAAATAACAAGGAAAAAAGATGTGTTGAATGAACAAAAGTCGAAATGGCGAAAAAAAGATCGATTTTTCCAAACAATTATCACAGAAACACAACAACATTTTTTTCATACAACATTCATATAGATGAGTTGATACGACCGAACGGTCAAATTTGATGCCAATTCAGTTTCTACATTTTACAAACGTGTGAAGTGAATTGGTTAAAAACGTATTGTTTAACCGTTCTGTGTTAGGAATTTGGATTTAACCTGATTTAATTGAATTTGGTTCAATTCGATTCGATTCAGAGCGAGATCCATTCCAATTATTGCGATGCATCAATGAATACGTTCGATTTTTAATTTGCGCTAAGTACTGTTCACACCCTCTTTCCCAATTCGCAGGCACGCACATGCAATGCATCAAAAACCTGATTTTAGAATAATTATTTTTCATTTTTTTTTTTCAAATGAAGCTGATTATTAATCGCATATTTGAAATTTTATCGTGATTGACGATGTTTTGAGACTGGAATTCGTCACGGAAAACCCATTATTTTCACTTTATATTGTGTGCGCACTGCGCAATGTGTAATGTGCATGCACAGGTGAAAAAAAAAACATTTCAACGCCATGACAAACCTGCATATATATGCATTCCCTTCTTATATGAAGGGCAAATTACCCTATTATTTTATCAAAATGATAGGGACTTAGGAACAACAGAACGCTATGTTTCCCATCACTTGAGTGTTATATCTGGATTTGTATGTGAAAATTTCGAATTTCCTTCAATTGAAGAAAACATTTAAATGGGTTAAATACAAAAACGTCTAAAAATAAAACAAAATCGTCTAAAAAAAATGAAGATTTCGTCTAAAGGAAATGGTCCCTTTTTTTAACAAATTCGTCTAAAATAATTTTTTTAAAATGACAAAATCATCCAAAAATGTGACAATTTTTTTCTTAACAAAATCGGGTTTTAAAATAACAAAACCGTCTAAATACGAGTTTTCTGACAAAATTGACAAAAACGCCTAAAACCCTCCAAAAACGTCTATTAACAAAATGTTTGTTTAAAATGACAAAATCGCCTAAATACACATTTTCTAGAAAAAATGACAAAATCATCTAAAAGACTCCAAAAACATCTATGGACAAAATGTTTATTTAAAGTGACAATATCATCTAAAACACTCTCAAAAATTACAAATTCATATGATATTTTCATGCTGAAAAAATCGCTTGAAATATGCCAAAAACGACTATGAACAATAGTTTATTTGAAATGACAAAATAATAATCTAAAATCCCAATTTTTTCAATATCTTCTTTATTTTTTACTTTAAGAATCACACATTTTGCCGAATTTTTTTTTTTCATTCGATTATTTTTATTTTTCCTTTCACAACACATTGCATATGAGCTTAGTTTGATTCCAAAAAGTGATATGATCAAAACCATACCCGATGAATTTGATAAGACATACACTGAAGATGGCTTTCCAATCCGGAGAGTATTTTTTCATTTGCAAACCACTGTTGGCATATTTCGGGCGATTTTTTCAGCATGAAAATATCATATGAATTTTTGATTTTTGAGAGTGTTTTAGATTATATTGTCATTTTAAATAAACATTTTGTTAATAGACGTTTTTGGAGGGTTTTATACGTTTTTGTCAATTTTGCCAGAAAAATCGTATTTAGATGATTTTGTTATTTTAAAACCCGATTTTGTTAAGAAAAAAATTGTCACATTTTTAGATGATTTTGTCATTTAAAATAAAAATGATTTTAGACGAATTTGTTAAAAAAAGAGACCATTTCCTTTAGACGAAATCGTCATTTTTTTTAGGCGATTTTGTTTTATTTTTAGATGTTTTTGTAAGCAGCCATTTAAATGATCGTACTTCACTTAAAAAATTGTTCATAGGTGATAGACAAACCACCCTATGAACATTATTGACAACTTTATATCTACGTAGTTTTTGATGAGGGATAAATTTCCACCTTGAATTCACCTCACCCGTTGAAATATACGATAATCGAAGGTAAAGATTTCAACTTGTAAAGTTTAAGCTCTTTGGCCAAGGTGATCATGAACACTATACTATATTTGATAATATAAAAATGGTTTCGGGGGGATATTAAAGGGAATTAGAACACATAATTTGTGTGTGACATGTGGGGAAAAGTTCGTCTTGAGAAGGTTGGAATTTTTATTTGTTTTCGTTTCATAAGATTAAAACTTGGTTAAATCTTAATCACATTTTCAAATACATAAAGCGCCCTAATACTTGATATTGATGCTTTCCCTTGCTTTTCGGTGACATCTCCATTTTTATTTAGTTCAACTAATCACGTCGATGACCAAGTTTAGGAAAGCAAATATTGCTTTCTTACAGCTGACAGCTGTTACTATTTTAATTATTGCATATTAATGAATAGGAGCTGAATGAGTTGTGCATGAATGGAGTTGCCAAAAAAACACGGGGAAAACTAGTATCCAGCGCTAGGAGGTCTTCCTTCTTCTGCTTCAACGACTGCTGCACCGACTGCTCAATCGGCTGGTATACCGACTGAAGGAGGTTCAACGGGTTCATCAATCGGTGTTATTTCAATTGGACTCGCCGGCTTTTCGTTCGGAACGGGTGTATCAGGCCATGTTCCATCTGAAGGGTTTGTTGGTTCTTGGTTCTGAGGACTAGTCTTTTTTTCAAATTCGGTATTCGTCAGATCAGAGAATTTATTCAAGGCCATTTTATATGGAACAATACCCTCTTTGAATAGCCTATTGTGCATATTGATCAGATTTCGGCTCCTCACGAAAATACTCAAATGCATTAAATCTTCGTCTTTGTCTTCATATACTTTGTTATACAACGCCTAAAATAGAGTGTACGAATTACAACAAACAGTTTGATTCGTATATTTTGCATAGACAAAATGTGTTTTCGAACAATTAGATAACAATGCGCATCACTCGAACATTTTTATACCTTATAATTAACCCAAGCATACTTCTCTTCGGGTGTAAAAGTGTTGACAACAACGAGCCATGCACAAATAAGAACTAAAGTTTTTTTCATTATTTATAACGAATGCCCACTGGAATGCAGTAAGAAAAGCCAATCAAATCTAAACAAGAACTTTAAATTGAACGTTAATCGGTGAACGATTTAATTCAATATAAAGTTTAGCCAATGTAAACATAAGAATTTATATTCATAAATATCCAAAGCGAATGAATGTTAAAGCGAATTTGATTCGCTTCTCGTTTCGCTATTGCATTCAACGGTATGCAGTAATTTAACAACATGAAACGAATTGAAAATATTATTTCAATGGTATGGTACACTATATATTTTGAACCATTACGGTAATAAAATTGCATTTTTCTCTTTCTCTTTTTATTTTAAAATTGTTTGTATATAAAAGAAAAGGAGAAATATTGTTTGTTTCCAGAGAGTGCTATTTCGCTGCATTTGCTGATTCAGGCGCCTGAAGTGTTATTCTACGGCATTCACAGTTTGAAATTGTCATTGCTTGCAATGATCTACGATCTTTCTCAATTTAATTAAGGGTTATATTTTCGAATAATGAAAATTTTGCAGCGTAAATGCGTTGAAATAACGCTTCAGGTGCCTGAGTCAATAAATTCAGCTCAGCTAATGCCTGCTCAGCAACGAATTAGCACTCTCTGTTTGTTTCAGAGCTCAGAGAGAGAGAGAGAGTTCGAGTTGAATTCATTTACATGGATCTATGTGTTATTCTTGATTTTTTTCAACTCGAACAGATGCACACAGAAGCCAAACATGAACACTCAGCAACCCATACTCCTAATGCAAGCCGAATACAACTATCATTTGGCATGACGTTTCGCTATTAAGTTTGTTTCAGTAACTTGAGTAACAGTAAAGCTGCTGTTAATTTAAATTACCATTCATTTTGAATGAAGCATTCTACCCAACATAAAAACCAAAAATGGTTTTGGAAAGAAAAAAACACGAGAGTTTCAGTAATTAACTTTACTTTATTTTTTTTTATTTTCCACAACAATCAATTTTTTGCGCATAACATAAAATGTGTGCTGCAGCTATATATCATTTAAATTCGTTCCATCAAAAAAACAATAATGGATAAAATCGTAATACATATTAAAAAATATAAACTTACTTATAATAATCAAGAACAGTTTGTATTCTCAGTACATCTAAAAATGAATTACAAAATCTTGATTTCATTTCAATCTTGAAAATAGGCGCCCGGTTTTAAATTAAATAAATAATTTGAGTATGAAAATAAAGAAACTTCCGATTGAAATGGACGGCAAACGACAAAATCGAGTTGTACACAAATCACGCTAACATGATTTGTGCGCTTTCCTATTTAACATATATCACTCTAAAGCAGTGCACATACCACATAACACTTAACAAACGACTTGTACTATGAGAATTTATTTTGCCGAATATAATCGCAGTTGAAGTTGTAGTGAACTCTGTATGTACTGATTTAAACTTCATTTGGATTTGTCATACGGTATGAGTATCATAGTATGAGACTCTCATACCCGTATACAGCGAATCTAAGGGGATTTATCTCTCGCGAATGCTGCGAATGCATTCGCATTTCAGAACAAAAATTTCGAATGTTTGCGAATGCAACGAATGCGGCTATGACAGCGAACTTGTGGCTACATAATTCGTTCGTTCATTCGTGTTTGTACATGCATTCGCAACGCTGCCGTATGATTTCTATGTAAAAATTCGCACTCGCTCGCATTCGTGAGAACGTTCGAGAACAGCGAAATACGACTGCTATACGAATGCGAGTGCGAATGTTTACATAGAAATCATATGGCAGCGATGCGAATGCATGGCACTGAGCGCGAATTCGTCAATAAAAATTCAAATGCCAAACCGACATAGAAGCCCCTAGCAATGAATACGCTGTACAATGAACACAAACGAAAAGTCGAAGTTATCACGCAAGTCGTATACAACTCGATTTTATAGTTTCTTTAATTCCAGATCGAATGAAGAATCTTAAAAAAATCGGCATAAAGACATTCTTATAAGAATCCAAAATCGAATCTGGATTTAAAAAAAAAAAAATTAAAAACCAGGTCAATATCGATATTTACTGATTACTGAGAGTACAATTAATCACTGATTCGATTTTTTAAGAAGCAATTGAATATGAATGTGCAGCAATTTCGCGCTGGTATTCAGTGAATACTATTCACCAACCATTGCTCATTCTGACTGACCACTGATTTCGGTAAATCTAGAATCACCTGAGTGAAGAATGGTTCTTTTCAAACAAGTACAGAAAAAAAATAATCGTTGTAGCATATATTTTCTTAAGCCAATGATCCAGCTTGCTGAATATTACCAGCATAATGTGATTTAAACATATTTTCAATTTCGGCTAATGTTTTTCCCTTGGTTTCGGGCACAATGAATCGTACATAAAAAATGCTCAGCAATGAGCATGTGCCATAGAACATGCACACGTTCACGGTGCCCCAATTGGTTGTCATCCATGGATAAAGTTTAACGCAAATGAAACAGATCGAATAAGCGGCTGCAATGGTGATCCCCGAGCAAAAGCCTCGATATTTTTGTGGAAATATTTCGGCATTCATCACGAATGGAATCTAAAAGAACAAAAAATAACGGGGATTAGTATGTTGAATTTCTTAAGAAGCAAAACTCTCCGGGAATTTTGTTCGCATGAAAATAAAACGAAAACAAACTTTAACGGAAAACAAAACAAGAAATCCAATTTCAAACCAAATTCAACTCACCGTTAACAATCCAAGCGTACTGGTGAATACATAAGTGAGTATGAGAAGTGTGGGTATCCATTGATAGTGTTCGGTGGGTTGGAAAAATTTGCACGCAACTAAACCGTACATGCAAAGCGCCATTAGAATGGATGAGTAAATGGTTGGTGTTCGTCGGCCCAAATGGTCCAACAGCAAACCAATTATTGTGCCGGCAACAACACGAACAACACCAATGTATACAACGCACAAGAATGGATCCATTGTGACACCGACTTCGGTGGCAAATTTCGCTGCATACACCACAACCACAAAAATACCAGACAATTGTTGAAATGCAAAAAATCCAATGATTATCAACGTTGGACGATACACTTCCGGTTTGATGCAATTGGACAAAAGACTCTCCTTTTTCAGCGTTTGACGGCGTTCACTGTGCATTATCAATATATCAATTTCACCTTGAAGCTCTGGATTTATAAAACTACCTGCACATGCGGTGAAAATCATCAAATTAAAAATTTAGCACAGTTTTGGAATGGAACCGTTTAGTGGTTGGAAAAGTTTTGTATGTTTGCAGTTGTTTACCTTTTCGTGGTAGTCCCTTGAAAATGCGCAATGATTTTTCCGCTTTGGCCGTTCGACCCTTACTCGCTAGCCAAGTTGGAGTTTCCGGAATTGGTATTAGCAAAATGAGCGCAACTATACAGATCGCACAACTTATACCACTAACCAACCGCCAGTTTGTCTGCGAATACATGCATTTGATTATTTATGTAGGGAGGACATTGAAATGTTTTGATGCGATGTTTTATGCATATGAATTTGGATTAAAACGCAAACGGATGGGTTTTTTAATTACAAATTTTGAAGAGATTGGGTTTAGATTGAGCGGGAAAAGGATGATGGAATAGAGAAAAGGGCAGAGGGACGGGGAAAAGAGGTAGGTAGGTGGGGAGGTAGAAAGAAAGAAGGTAAGGTAAAGAGAAGGACGAGGAGGAGAAAAGGAGAGAAAAAAAGAGCCAGGAAGGAAGGAAGGAAAGTGTTAACGGAGAAAAGGAGCAAGAAAAAGAGGAAAGAAGAAAACAAAGCACGGTGGAGTATCAGTAATTAAAATGCGAGCCCAAAAAAGAAATTCAATCGCTACTCACCGGTATAAAATAGCCCATTACATAAATAAGTAATATGCCGAGTCCAATGGTAACGGATGTGATGACCGAAATCCGGCCACGAAGTGTTGGATGCGCAATTTCGGCCGAATAAACGGCTGACGGTGAACTTGATAATCCAATGCAAATGCCAATGATAAAACGTGCCACCAGCAACTGAATAAACATTAATTCCTTATCAACGCTACTTGCCATCGCCATAATGCCCCAGGACACCACTGACAGCATATTTATCGTATATAAAGTCTTCTTACGCCCATATTTATCCAGCACATAGCTGCACAACAAACCGCCAATCGGACATGCAATCGCATTTATCGAGGCTGATAGATAGAAAAGAAAAGGAAGATAAACACCAAGTGACTTTTACGACATATTACGCGAAACATGATCAGAAGAAATATGTGTATCGTTTTGAATGAAAAACAAAACACAATACGTATCACTCGTAATTGGCAGCAATCAAAACAATTTATTTGCCATGATTGTTATGTCATTTGTCAAATGACCGATATTAAAACGAAACAAAACAAAAGAAACTCACAAACAAAAGCTGAGACAAGACATGAAAATACAAAACGTCCCGACGATATTCCGAACACATCGCAACTTTTGAATGTGTTTTTTGTGTGTTCTGGAATGGAATCGTTTATGACACCATTTGAAGCGATTTTGTGCATTCTCTCGAACAAAAAGATTGAGTGTTTTAAGTGTAGACCGAAATGTGTTTTTAAATCATTGAATTGCATCAAAATCAACATCAAAATTATCACATGTTACCCAAAATTGGACCGTCTAGTGTCGAATAATGTTTCAATTTATAAAAATAATTCAACAAACAATAGATTAATCATTGATTAATATTCAATGAATTGAGTGCACGGACGTGCAACGTTTGTTCATCAATCTATATTTACCCATTTCGATTGACAGAGTGAGTGAAAAAAAACATAGTGCGCTTGCATATCTCAGTGTGACATGGAAAGTTTCCGCCCTGCGACAATTTCAATTCAGGTAAAATCGAAGCATTCGATACGTGAAATTTTTCCTATTGTTTTGTTCGCCCAGTTCAAATATTGTTTAGTTGCAATCGCAATAGCGCGTTTGATAAGTGTGAATTTAATCAAAAGTAGAATAGAAATTATGTGTCACTTGATTTTGAAACTAAAATCAATCGATCGAAAGTAGCGTTGACGAGAGAGCGTGAGATGTAGTGGAAGAGAGAGAGAGAGAGAGAGAGAGTGTGATAGAGCATGACAACAGCATCAAAAATCGTTTCAATTGACCTGTGAATGATTCGAATCTGATTTTACCGAGTTTGAATAACAGATTTATTTGCGAATTTTTTCGTGTTGTGCAGTTGGCACAGTGCACAGAGCGCACGTAATAAACTGCAATGAATAATAATATTTCAGCAAGTCATTGGAAACCTAATTTGAGGTTCGTTTTTTGTTGTGCGCGCGTACCACACGAATCAATCGATCAAAATAGATGCGCACGATCGGTGGTACATCAATCGATTAGCATTTTATTTTATTTTTCATTTGCTTCATGTAAAACGAGCTCATCGTGGTTCGAAATCAAGCAGCGATTAAAAAAGGATGAACAAAAAACAGGCTATGTGATTACAAAGCCCCCATCAGTGATATCGCTCGTCACACGGACAATTTCAAATCGCGCGCGAGCACTCACTCAGTCAATCTCGTAGTCATAGCGCGAGAGATAGAGATAATTGCCGCCTAATCACTGGAATGCATAATGTGCAATTCGTTGTTGTTGATAATATGTCGACTGGGTAATATATTTATTTTGCTCTCGGTGAATGCACATTTTTCCCGTCTTTTTTGCTTCTCTGCTTTGTGTTCGCACCGCGATTTGATCTCGCCTGATTTGCATCGCACATCAGAAAGTTTTTTTTTTCAATATGTGCGTACTTTTTTGTGTGTGTCATTGTTTGTTGTGCTGATAAAATGCAGCCGTTTTCAGCTCTCTGTCGTGACATCAATAGTCTCGCAATTATTTGCTCTATTTACGAGCTAAATCGTAGTTCTGAAAATCTAGTTTCGAGAGAATTTTGCGTTTTATGAGTCGCGAGCGTTGACAATTTGTGCCAAACACACACACACACACACGCGTTTTGTGTCGAATCGACACTGTCGATTGAAAGACAAACGTTTTGTCATATTGTCTATTAACTGTTCATGTGCATCCAATTCGAGGTCCTGATAACGAATTCAACGAAGGAATGACAACAGCTACAGCCTCTGACTCACTTTCGGTTATGCAATCTTGTCGATGGGACCCACTTGGAATTTGTGCGATTTCATTTCATAGTCGTAAATAATATTTTCTGCCATTTACCCTTTGCCTTTGTAATTTCAATTTCACTCTCGAAATTGAAGACAAATCCTTATTTGTTTGAAGTATTTATAGCATTTGTTGGAATCGAAGTAAGAATAAGGCTCATTCAATGAACAGAAGACGGAATATTATTGGATTATTGGAAGAGGGAATGAGAATTCATTTAATTTAAATTTTCATTTTTTTTTTAAAGAATTTATTGGAACGACGAACAGATTTCCAGAATGATGAATGACTTAAGTCATTGAATTATTCATATCGAACATGAAACTATCGATTCAAGTTAAATCGAGGTGATTTTTCCGAAGGACGCTAGAAAACCTTTTGGAAAATGATGAACGCTTCGCTTTTTTACTCATACATTTCCTTTGTATCTAGTAGATACTATCTACACACCCTTATTTATTCAACGTGTTCAAAATTCGATTTGAAAACAAAACGGAAAAAGTGGCAACTAGTGACGAGCGCTTCAAATCTAGTGGATAAACATATTTTCTTTGTGTTTAATTTGTAAAGGAGATCCCTCATCGTCTGCTGGTTGTTTTCCGTTCGTCTCGATGATAAGCCAGACGCTAAACTAAACAACCACTTTATTTCCACCATTTTAATTAGACATCTCTTGTGATGTGATGAGAGCACAACGCACACGCCTCAACAACAACACATCCAACGTGGGCAATCATAGAGTCTTCAACTTGACAATTGCCTTGGCCATTGCCATCATTTCATGAGTTTAGTTTCTTCTGCGTTCGTTCATTCCGGAAGGTTCTCGCAACCACTAGTCCCTCTATCCGCCTCTCTTTTCTCTCATGTTCTCTCTCTCTCTCTCAATCTCTTTAATTCCATCTCTTTCCTTCTCACGCTCTTTCCTTCCTGCTCTTTCCCTCTTTCCCTTTCTTTCTATCGCTGTCTCATTCTCCCCCTTCCTCCCACCACCGCTCTCTGTCTCAGCGTATGAAACACATGGATACATCATATTGTGCCATCATTCAACTTAAAACCCATGCTTATGATACTGGTGCCCTTTATCCATTTCATCGTTTGAATATCGCTCATTAGGTAATGCGAAACTATACATATAATTTGACACTTGAGACGGTACTCGCAGCGAATGGCCTCGACTCAAAGGAGAAAGAAAGAAGGGAAAAAAACAACTGCAACATGACATAGTGGCCGCATGTTGATTTTAAAATTAAGAGGACGTTAACCAAATTAATTGGCTGTTGCGGCAAAAAGCGAATAAAACACACCACACCGTCGCCACCGAATTAAATCAACAAAATTAAAGTTATTAATTTGAAACTAAATTGGCGTTTTTTTTTAACATAAGGTTTAACATTTTTCCATTCAAGTGTTTCGGGAGTATCTTTCCATTTCTACGTCGTGAAACGAGTGAAACGAATGAAAAGTCCGGGAAAAAGAAGAAGAAATGGAAAATATTGAAGGAAAAGAGACGAGGAAAATGAAACTGAATTTGGCTACTGTTGACAACTAAACGGTTGGCATTTACAAATCCAAACAAACTCTAATCCACCATTAGGTTAATGGTGAACGTGCAAACATTCGCCCCGATACCAGCTGCACATTTGTTGCCAATGGTGAACAACCGACGAATTTGAAATTAAACATGGAATCTCGGACTCGAATTGTGCTGTGCCATTTGACTTTAGATCAGGGAAATTGGGTTAGTGTTAAGCCAGAGTGAAATGGTGTGCTCGAGAAATGGGTTCCATTTGAAGAGTTGTGTGTGTGTGTGTGTGTGTGCAGTGTGCACAACTTGTGCCAGCTAATTGTGTGCAAAATTACGGTGTTAGCACAACTGATCTCGAACACAACAGAGGTCAAAGTGCAGCAAGAGAAAGAAAAAACATCGACAATGATAGCCAGTACGTACGTCGTATATAAAGTTTACCATTTTATGCTGCAAGCAACAAAAAAAACCTCACAGATACAAACTCGATGCTATCCTGCTTTGCTATGGTACTTGTATCCAGACGGTAAAGCCAGTAATTTACCGACTTTTCTGGCCACAAACACCAACAACTACAACAAACATTTTGCTTCAACCCACAAATACTCCAAATAAGGAATTTTGCTTATTTGATATTCTCATCCTTTTGTCAACCCACATGCAGAATCTATTGCAGAGATATGGGAATATTTTGAATGCAGACGTTTTTTTATTCTTTGACTTTGTTATCGATGATGCTTAGTTCCCGTTTTACGGATCGAGAAAAAAAACTCTTTCCGGTACTATTGTTACATTCCTGCTTGTTTTTATACAAACTGTGTACAGTCGAATTTCGATGGTTGAACTTTGAATGGCCGAAATCCAAAATGGCAATTTTAACTTAACGCTCAACCTTATTTTATCTAGAATACGACTAACCGATGTAGTTTCGAATATACTTCAGTTTCAAACCCATTTCGTGGGAAGCAAAGCAAAGCAAAACAAGAAAAACTAAAGCAACAACCGAATTGAAGGACAATATATTGAACGAATTTTTTTTGAAGTCTTCCCTTCGAAGATTAGGAGAAACGAATTAATTGAAGGATTGAGAATAATTTTTTTTTTTGCAAAATTTCAAAGCTAAAGTAATAATTATTTGGAAAAATCAAGAAATTTAGGGAAGAAAACAAATATTCTATGAGAAAAAGCATTTTTAAGACAAATTTCTCGAAGCATTTTTGAGGAAAGCAAAAAAAATTCCAAGAAAAATGAAGAGTTTCCTTTTACAATGAAGAGTTCTTGCTTTTTATAATCAAGAAATTGAGAAAAGAAAGAAGTTTTGCATCACAACTCCTTCAAAATCCGAAGAAACCTTCAAATTCTATCTTGGCTTTGAATTTTTCTCAATTTTTGTGAACTCACTTGAAAATCGTTCAAAATTCACTCAAAATTCCCTCGAAATTCGTTCAAACAAAATCATTACCCTGCTTTCCATTTGGGCTGTCATAATTTGCATGCGTCAGCATTTAATTCTGTGATTGTAGGCACAACTTTTTCCTGTCCGCTTTGCTTGTTGCAAATCGATCGGACACTGGTGCGATTTTATCAGCTCTAGGGGAGATAGAAATTGAATAACACAACAAATAATCGGATGATGACGCGTTTTTTTTCACATGATTTCATCAGTCATATTTTAAAACTTGTCAAAAGATTAGTCAGTTAGATTATTGCTCTTGTTTTGCAAAATGTCATAAGGGTCTCGCGTTCAAATGAACCTCGATCGATTTGCAATTGTGAATTTGAATGTCTCATCGAAACGTATATTTATTATATTCTTTGTCTTCCATAGGAATAAAAAAGATTTATTAATAAGACTTTTTGCTTTTTCGTTGTTTTTCTTTATTGAAAATTGTAAATTCAATCTCTTGAGAGATGCAAATCAATCAGAAGAAATTGAACTGAATGTGAACTTACCAAACCATGATGCTTGTTCGTTCGACAATGCCATTGGATCGGATTTATTGGTGAGACTTTGGAAGGTGATTGCCGGAAAGCCTAAACCCATGCCACTCGATAGAATGGAGAAATTCGCCAGCACACTCATCGATAGCTGAAAGAGATATAAAAATTATGACAATAGAAATTTGATTTATTGATTACTGTTATGATAATATATTCAATTCTACTGTTGACATCATTATGATGTATGTATGAATACCAAATCTATGAGTTATAACGATCAAGATGAATATGTTTGCATTTTTACATTAAATCAAGTGATCGACATTTCCCATCAATATCAAAGTATATTGATTGTTGAACAATGGTTGACTAGGACATATTTTGACCAAATTTGGCTACAATGATATAACATTTATAAAAAAACACCGCAAATGAGTAGATTGATGGAACGATTTTAATACGTAGAGTCTACAACTTTCAGTGGTGAGTTGCGTCCTACTTGAGCTATGTACAAACTGCATTCTTTAATGAAATCTCTCAAAACAAAATCTGGATGAAAATAAAACCAGAGCGAACAAAGTCCGAATTTCAATCGAAAATATTCCGTTGAATTAATCTTCGTTCATGAATTCTGAAAAAAAAAAATTATCGAATCGGCGAACACGCGTTCATTTCGAAAACAAATTGAACTTGATCGCTTGAGACTCAATCCTTGAGTATTTGTGCCATAAAAAGCGACGCTTCTAAAGCGCACCTTAGTATGGTGCAAAAAACAATTTCATCTCTGAACGATTTCATCGAAATTTCATGTCTGAATTGATAAAAATCTCATCTCGGAGAAAAAAGAAAGGAAATTTTAGAAAGAGAATATATCTCAGGAATCGTTCTGTTTTTTATGCGATTTTCATCTCCACTGACACTGTATCACTATTCTCTACGACACCAGAGCATCAGAGATGAAACACAGTCAACACCGTTCAAATTCAAGTGGCAATATAACGTGCTATATGGACCATAATTTTGATGGTAAGCGTTTGAATCTTAAAGTGTCATATACCTGCATGCACACCGCTTTGCCGGTTAGTCCCAGCGGTACGGTGTCGTCTCCATCATTTTCGCTGCCTTCGTTAAAGCATTTATTCTCTTCGGTATCTTCTAGCTCTTCCATCGGTGGTACATGCACAAATTGATGCTTCTTTGGCTTCTCGTCCATTGCGTTGTCGTTTGCCGTCTGCTGTTATCGAAATTCAACTGACCGTCACACAGAAATCACCACTTAAATACCTATAATAAAAACTCTTATTAGACGATTGAAGTCTTGGAATGAGCTACGTATTTGCTTTTATATTATGAACAGAAAATAAAAATGCGGATGGATTTTAATCTTTGATTACAAATCAGTAGAGTGCAATAAAAATGAATTTGTGCTCTTTTGATAGTAATTTTATGTGATGCAATTCGTTGCCGACGCGCGATGCGATTTATACGCCGGGAGAGAGGGAAAGAGAAAGAAAATATTATACAATGTGACAAATGGTTTTCAGCACACGTTTTTACTCGAAATTCTCATTTGATTCATAACTAACGCATATAAGATAAAAAAAAGAGGGAAAAAAACAAACGTTGGAGAAACGGGAGTATTTTTTTATGAACAAACCAAATAGACGATACATTTGACCACACAACAAAGTGTCGTTGCTTATTATAAATGATCGAGGTGAATTCATTGTTTGAATTGAAATGATTTTTTTTCGTTTTTGCAGCGAATGGACTATAAACTAAAAAATTTGAGATAGTTTGTATATCTGTTCTTGGTGTTTTTAGACAATTAACTCATTTTCAATGCTAATTATATGAAAAATATCGATTTTTCAGACACTTTTTTGCTAACATTTCAATATTTTCTTCACATTTCCTAATAAAATAAACGATTTTGATGTTTTTTTAATCTGAATTTTATTTTTTGGAGCTCTTTTGAGTCGTTTTGTGCTGAAAACACTATATTTCTAGCCTATTTGAGTCATTTCAATCCCTTAAAAAGCAATAATAATAATAATCGGAACAATAGTCCAAATATTCAAATAATTGGCCGTTTCGAACCGCTGATTGGGATTCTTGGTCTGGACGAACCAATTTTATGTTTAAAGATCTTTTACGATCTACGATCTACGTTTTACGAAGTATTTTATACCGTTTCAAAAGTAACTTTAGCCCTTTTTCAAGCCAAATCAGCCTATTTGTTCACAAGCCAAAACGCCTTTGAATCACAATTAAAAGCGAAAACATTTCAAAATTCTCCCAAGATATCATGAGGCAAATGTAATCGTTGATAGTATGTACAGTTTGACATTTCTGATTGATGATGTGTTCGATGTTTTTCAGTAGTAAAAATCCGTTAAACAACCAGTTTGCCGTGTGAGTTTACAAGTTTATTGTGAGCCGGCAACGGGGAAACGCAGCGAATAACAGTGCACGATTATGTACCAGCAATCAGATACAGATCAATGGGTCATAAATCGTATACGATTATATACATAAATAAAGGCCACACACGACTTTTTTGCAGCACATAAATAGAATTCGACCAGGAAATAATGCCGTTTTTTGCAATGAATTCATTGCACATTGAATCTTGATCATTTCTTTTAAATGTTTAAATTTTTTACAATTTCTTTTGAGATTCAATTAGGTCAGATTTTGAATTTCAATCGGTCAAAAATACCGCCTTCGATCGGCCAACGGCCAAATTAAGATTTATTTTCAATTTTCCGGATAAGTGCGGGTCACTAGTGTTTACTAGGGTCCAAAACAGTGTATTTAACACGAGTTGGAACATTTTTTCATCATTCAAGGTTGCCCTGAGCCATCCAAAGTGTTTAAAACAAATTAGTACTTTTTAGTAGATTTTTAGTACATTTTTAGCACTTTTATTACTTGACCTGCAAAGCTCTTGAGGAGTACTAAAAAGTTTTTTCAGACACTATTGCTCTATTTTAAGCAGTTGAGAAGTTTCATGACTTCCAAAATGCACGAAAATACCGTTTTATAGCGAAAAGTGATATTGAGACAATAAAGTGGACTGGATGTGGATTTTTCGAGTTGATGTGTTTAGAAGTATTGCTCAGCTATACTCTGGCCACAATATTGCCGAACACAGTAAGTGAAAAAATGCATACTGCTCGAACTTTGGTCGAAAAACTGGAAAAATTGTCTATTTTCTCGACATTTTGCCTCATAGCTCCCACCAGACGTAATTTTTGGACATAGTTTTCACTAGTGTCTGCCTAAAATTGAACGAAAAACATTTTCTTAGTACATACTAAGGCTAAAAAACTATCATGAATGGGAGAAAAATGGTTTTTGTTCAATGCCTCTTTGCATTTTAATACTGGTGGAAAGTTTAAACGCCGAATTTGATATTTAAAAAAGTTGAGCCAATTTTAATATTCTGAGAACGCAGTTGTTCTTAGATTTTGGCCTTTTAGAACGCCTGATTTGTCCCTATCAATTGCCAGACACAAAAAAACATCGGTAGAACTGTGTTATCATTCATCCATATTGGATTACACGATCATAGATTCTGACACCAAAAATTTCAGGGAGGAATTAACCAAAAATTCATTAGGGGGTCAAAAAAATCAATTCTATTTAGTGTAAAATCATGAAATTATTCTTCAAAATTCAATGATGAGTCAAATAAATCGATTGTATCTAGTGTGAAATGTTCCCGTCAAAGAAATAACAAAGTGTATGACTCAATGATTTCTGATAAGAAAATGGAAGCAAAACAAATGGAATTGCTCATTTCCCATAGAGACACATGTTAATGTCAAATATAATTGAACTTTGAATTTGCAGCGAGATAAAGAGAGAGAGAGAGAGAGAGAGAGAGAGAGAGAGAGAGAGAGAAAGAGAGAGAGAGAGAGAGAGAGAGAGAGAAATGCAAAGAGACTTCATTCATTCGTTTGATTGATGTTTTCGTTTTCATGGCCATTGACCTAATTATTTACCGTTATTTACATTTAAATGGCTACCGGCTTAATTATTGCACAACATTTACCACTTCAAGTAATTGTGATGGGCGATCGGCGATCGCTAAACACAATCATCTCATTGAATCGACGACGGATATCAAATGGCTAATGTCGGCTAATTAACGTCACACGTCCGATTAATCGGTTAATTTGAACAAGCTGAGCAATGTCGCAATCACTTATGTTTGAAGTTCATTTTTTTTTTCATGGAAATTAATGTTTTTTTTTTATCTTCGCTTTTATTTTTTGTTGTCTATTCTTCGCCGAAGAAAATCTTTCTGAAATTCCCCATTCACCGCGGAGGTTCTCGATGTTATTCTAAAGCAAATTTGATGAATCCATCTAATTATGAGACTCTCTTATCATAAGATAGGTCATTTTTTTCGTTCAAATAAATCTTCTCTTGAACTTTGATCGTCTTTCAACTGAATGAATTTCCTTTCATTTTGGGAGAGACCTTTTTCAATTTTCAAACTATTTGGTTAGTTCCAGTAGAAAAAGTCAATCGTCAACAAAAAAGTCACTTGAGATAAATCATTCGTTCAACTATAGTCACAATTCAATTTCCTCACATTGCGATATCATTCGATTCTAATTCTAAGCACATCATTTCAATCATCTAATTTAAACAAACCCGATCTTTATACACAGACACATGCGCATCACCAACAGAAAAAAAAAAAACCATTTGTATATTTCAAAAAGACACTATTCCTGTTTCGTTCGTTTGAATTTTCAAGTGGTTTTGCATCGATTAAAAACAGTGAATTGTGCGATTCGGAATTTCAGGTCTTATCTTGCCTGTACACCTCTTTGATGTGCTATATCAAATATTGTTTGCATTGTCAATAGCAGTGATGATCGTTGAGTATTTGTTTTGTACCTACCTTGATCACGTTAATCGCTGCTGTTAATGGTCTAATAGAATGTGAGTTTAATGTAAAAATTCAACTGTAGGTCATATACAGGTAATAAAAACTAAGAAACAAAAAAAAAATGCTCACAACCAAATACTTTCACTTATTTATTGACCTTCGAGCAATTGGTTAGTCGAATCTTGGCAAAATTGAAACTTAAACCAAATCGAAATATTCAAACTTAAACCGAATATTCAATACATTGCCAGCAAGAATCTAAGAAACCGATTCGAAGACACTAAGAAATCGATGCTACTTCGAAGTGTGTCGAATGTCAATTAAAATTCGAAACTAAATCTAAACTGTGAATTGATCACCGAAAATCCGTAAGCCTACACTTTAAACGATATGAACGGCGCTATAGCGGAATTTGAATGTGTGTATCGAGTTTGTGTGTCCGCATCGACGGATTGCTTTTGTGGAACTAAAACGGTTTGCATCGGCAACTGAAAAATATGACTTGATACAAATGAAAATTGAATGAATGAACGAAAATACGAAAGAAAAAGAGACCGAAACAACAAAACCAGCACCAACGTCGATGACTGAAATCATACACGCGGGACTTTAAGTAAGTGTGTATAGGCATTGGGCTGAAGTGAAGCGCGGCGCTACAAACATGCGGGCCTCATATGCTCAATCGAAGAGCTGCTGATCGCACAACTAAATGCGGGTAATGTGACGAGTCGCGAGTGGCGACGGGCGAGAGAGGGGACGAGCGACAGCGAATGAGTGAGTGAATACGAGGACGGCCACATCGGAAACGAGATATATGATTACTTGATAGCAATACACATATACACACGGGCGCGACATATACGATTCCAAAATAGCAGAAATCGAAAAAGAATCGCATGTGGATGGACGTACACTCAAAATACCCACAGCAGAGCACATCATAATATCTCACGTTATTCTATTTGAATCCAGATAGCTGTCGCCGTCGCCGTCGCCGTCGTCGCCGTCGTCATACTTACCGACTCAAGCAGAGAAAAACTGACCGATACAGACCATAACTCACACTCAACGCCGAAGTATCAATCGCATACGCGCGCGCTTTCTCTCTCTCTCTCTCTCTTTCTTAGATCAACACCCGCGTACGACGTATAGAGCCACGATTTGGAGAGACGCGCACAGCAATTTGTCACAGCTTTGTAATAAAATATCAACTAATTTGATGATACTGATAATAACAAGCCACCGCGATGCAACTCTATCGCGAGCCAAATTTTCGTGCATTTGTTCGACTGTGTCTGTGGAAAAAAGGGCTGTTGGATAGTGGTTTTCTTTCTTTTTTTTCTTTTTATCTTTGATCTCAATTTCTTTCATTATTTTTTTCTTAATCCCTTCATTTCTCTCTCGTTATCCAACGCTTGTTCTCGCTCTCGTTCTCTCTTCCCTTTTTGCTGTCTCTTCGCTCTGTCTTACTCTTTCACTATCTCTTTCCCTTCTCCTCTCTTCTTCTCTCTTCCCATTTGCTCCGTCTCACTGAACTTAATAGGCAGACAAAAAAATCACACTCTACACCAGATGCATGACTCAATTAAGCGAGAAAAAAAAGTCTCAACTTTCAACACACAGCTCATCTGTCACGAGCGAACGCGTATTTATCAACACAATTATGACTCAATTAGGAGCTATCTCGGTTGATTCATTTCTCTCTCGTTGTCGTTGTTTTTTTTGCCTTGTTTTGTTTTACGCGCATTTTTTTCATTGAAAGCAGATAACTTAATGAGTTGATATCATTATTTGATTCTCAAACGCATGATCAAATTAGACACCAGCTCTGTGACTACCTTACATCGTATCTAATGAAAATTGGCACCTAATTTGAAAATAAGACACGATGTAAGGGAGCTGGTGTCTAATTTGACAAATGCTTGAGTCAATATGGAAAAACTCAACATGTGTTGGAATTTGACACTTTCAAACATTTTGCAACGTAAAAATCAACTCAGTTTTCTCTGTGAACATCAACTGGTTTTTTGTTTGTTTTTTTTTTAATTTTTTTTCCTACACAATTCATACTCGACAAATGATTCGATGTACAATTTGATAATAACGAGCCGCTGCGATGACATTGTTCATCTTTTTAATGAATAAGATTCATTTGATTGAAGCATTAAGCAGTGATTTGGCGGTCCATCGAACTTGTTTCAGATCAAATTCGACAGTAAAAATGAGTTTTTCAATCAAACTGCAACTGAACAAAGAGAAGCAATTTCAAATCAAAATGCTGGATTTCACATGTTCTCATGCTAACAATACTGAATATTCTGAGCTGAGTCTCAAATTTTCTTGGTATTTAGCATTGCAGGAATATCTTAACAAGAACCAAGATATTACTGGGCCATGTTAGGAAATTCCTGGAAAGAAAACTGATTGCTCAGAAGAAGTGTAACTCCAATAGGAACCGGCGTTTTAGATTTTGTCACAAACTAAATCAAACCAAACCAAACCAAATTCGTTTAAAGTTATTGAAAAAATCCAGTTTATTTGACTTGAAATTTCGAATGCAATTTGATTACAAATTGTAATTTACAATAAGAAAAATTAAGTTATCTCCCGAATGAGGTGTATCTTTAAAATTCTAATTCATACATCAAGATATCATCACAAAAATTGAAATTTAATTCACAAAACCGCCACTTGCCTTGAGCATTACTATTTGAAAAGTTGCGACTAAATTGTCGGCTGCTGTCAATGGCTCAACAAATGAGAGAATGTTGTCAAAACGGCGCACAAAGTGGAATTAAACGGTTTTATTACATTCATAAAACACTTGATGAATTCAAACCGACAAGCTGTAATGAATTTTATTTTCTTCTGCCGTACATCATCATTTTATTGTTTCATCGACACATTTGTCGCCTAGATAGGAGGAATTAGTCATAAAAATGTGAGAGAACAAGCGAGCGAGCGAGCGTCTGTGATAACATTCTGAAGGTAAATAATGACGATTCGTCATTTACTTAATAACGCTCTCCTCTCTCTCTCTCTCTCTCTCTCTCTCTCTCTCTCTCTCTTTCGCTCGCCCATTCTCTTTCTGTGTTTTGTGCCCGCACTTCACTGTCGTAAACATATTTTTGCATTTCGAATGAAAACGAAATTGTTTAAATTGAGTCATTTGCATTGGATTAAGTTCCTGTTTGTGCAAAATGACTTATTCATAAGATGCTTAAGACTAAGAGATAAACACAGAATAATAGGCACCTATTTTGGTTCTCTGTTTCTGTGTCTCTCACCTTCCTACCCTTGATATGCAAAATTTGCATTGCAAAGCATCGTATCAAACTTGCATTTTTCTTCGCTGACGACCACATCCAATTCAATGGAATAAAGCAACTCTCTAAAATAAACCCTCAAAATTCAAATTAAAAACTTTTCAGTTCCAAAACTATTTCGTGTAAATTGAATGACAAACCACCGCAAAACTGAGTCGGAAATGAATTGGAGAAACATTGGGTCATTCATAGAAAAAATAAACATATCTGTCAATTGTCAGATGGTGTGTATATTCAACCCTGGTTGCATGTCATGCGTTGTTGCTGTTGTTGTTGTTGTTGTCTTTGTCTGGCTCCAAACGCACGGCGAAAAGGACGACGACCCAATACTTATGTAACGATGGGAGCGTGCAATGGTTTGTGTAATGCGACGCAACAACATGGCCTAAAATGGGTACGACATACATATATAAATATCGCATGAAAACATGTGCAGCCATTTAAGCGCATGTGCACATGCCACATCGTTGTCGGAAACAACATCGAACTATACCAACCGTACGCAATCTATCTCTTTCCCTTTCTTCCTTTCCTTTTCTTTCTCTTTCTTTCTCCCTCCGTGGCAGTTGGTTTGTTTTTGCAGCTATCAGAAAACGGTTCAGCATCCCAAAAGCCACAGCATAGTGATGGCGCGCTTATTTCATCTGCAAATGTCTTTACTCAGTAACGGATGTGCGATACAACTCTCTGAAGTGATATGGTAGTGTCTCTCTAGTGTACCGTTGACATACACCAAATGCCATCAAAATCGCTAGAACGAAGCGACGATTTAATGGTATTTCTACTGCAGGTGAAACAGAGAGACTCACGCACAGGACGATAAATCAATTATAACGACATTTCATCTTCTACCAAACGCTAACATTTCTACTAAACTGATTAGATTCGTCTACTTACTGAATATTATCTCTGGGAACAGGTAGCCGGCTGCTCAGTTAGAATTCTCGTGACACTTGGTTGGTTTACATGAAATTTGGTCGGAAAAAAGTTGATACCATAACATTTCTGCAGTAGTAAATCATCAATAAATTTACTTGAATCAAATTCTTCGAGGTTTCACTACTTTCGATTGTGTCTTGAGCAGAACATTACATTTGTTTGCTTGAGTTCTGCTACTTTGCATGAGCCGAATTTCTCTTCGATTCTTGAACCAAATTTTCCTTCAATTTCCTTTGCTTGAGTCTTTCTTTTTGCTGGAAAATCATCCACGAATTGAATCAGAGCTGAAAAAAATTGAATCAGTTACTTGAGCCGATTTCGGAGCAGATTTTTTTTCTTCAAAAGTATAGCAAAAGATTTGAAGATGAAAAGTAGGAAAAGTAGCGAAATGTTATGGTTTTGTTTTGTGTTTTATCCAGAGGATTGAGGGCTCTAAAGAGTTTGCGGTCGTTTGACGAAAAAAAATGCGAAAAAGTTTTCTCGAACAACAAATGATTATGAATGAGTAAAGTAAGTGTTTGAAAGATGCTGAGCGATGGTCTGTGTGTGTGCGTGTTCTGTGTGGCCGTCTGTCAATCTATGCACGCGGTGCGTCAATAAGACGGTTTGTTTTCATAAAATTCGTATCACGCGAATGACAACGATCGACGCATTGTGTGAAGGCGCACCAATACCACCGTCATCCGAAGCAGTGGCTATCACAACGCCAGCGAAATGTAACGTGTTCATGCCATTGCGAACAACTGCCAAACGAAGCAAACAATAGACAGACAAAACCATCGGTGTGCATAGCACACGCACCGATAAAAAAGCCGATCATTTATTTTGTGCTCTGTTCACCGTAGAACAATCGCATGTAAATTGTAGCTCATAAATAACGTGTGTACACGCGCTTGTTGTCACAGCCTCAACCAGAGAGAGAGAGAGAGAGAGAGAGAGATAGAGAGAGAGAGAGAGATAGAGAGGGAGAGAGAGAGAGAGAGAGAACAAGTAAAAACGACGAGAGAAAGCGATATACACGAATACATTTTGGGAAAAGCATACGAAGCGTGGATTCGATTCGGTATGCGTTGGAACGAAAAAAGCGAGCACTTGCGATTCGGCGTACACACAAACAGATCCACGAGAACACATCTTCACAGCGACGCACACACACACATACATGCACATGGACTATGAGACCCATTGGGGCACTGGCATTCTGTGTGTATCGGTAAACGCGGCTGGCGCGTTTTCGTCATTTCGTTGTCAGTGTCTTTCAATGACTGAGTTTGTAAGCTCAGTTAGCGACAACATCTTGATTAGTGAAGTTTAATGTCAAGTTGAAGGTAAAAAAGCCGAAGAATTGTAATCAAAATACACACATTGAACGTGGGGTATTTAGAAGCCAAAAATTTCGACTCTTCGTTCCGACTCGCAACAATTTCACCGCATTCAATTCATTGAGCAATTGAATGTTGTATTTAAAAAAAAATTATAGATTTTGCACACAGTGAATAGTGTTTATTGTTATTTTAATCAATAGAAGTGAAGACAAGGAAAAAAGGTGTAACATTTCAATGAAACCTTAAAACTTTGAGAAACAGGGGCAGATATAGAAAATTGCAACCAAAAAAAAGAAGACTCAAGAACATTTTCAAACACTCGAACACAAAGCTAGAATAACGGAAATTTAATCGAGTGTTTATTTGTATTTTGTGTGTGCGTATAAATCGAAGGCGATGCCTTAAAAACTATACTGTGAACAAGAGAAGACAAAGAGAGTGAAAAAAGCACTAGCAACAGTAGCAGCAGTGAGACGGCATTTGTTTGGACAAAGGGTGAGTATTACATCTGCTTTGTGTATTTGCTTGCTTTTCTTCGTGTTATTTAGTTCCGCATCGTTAAAGCACACAGCAATTTCATTCTCATCTTCCGAGAGCTTATATTTACTTTTTTCATTTTCTTCTTCTTATCTCTCGCTTCCTCTCTGCCTCTCTCTCTCTCTCTCTCTCTCTCTCTCTCTCTCTCTCTCTCTGTCGCTCACTCTCGCTCGCTTCCTCCAAACGAGCAAATGCTTAAGTAATCTTTTGGTTTCGATAGAGTCAGTGATTGCCATATAGTTCAGATAATATGAGCATGCACACACACTCGATTCAATGCGTGCTTGACGTAATTGGACAGCACATGTCGCCAAAAAGTGACAGGCAAGAAAATTGCGAAAAGGATTAAGGAGAAGAAGAAGCGGCAGCAGCAGAGAAATGTACCATGTGTTCATGATGCATGATGACTGATTGTCTATCGTGGGAAGGGTTTTTCTGTCTCTTTTTTACTTTTTTCTCTATCTTTATCTCTCTTCCGCTCTCTGACTCGAAAAATGAATGATTTTTATTTGGGTTAAAATGAATGTAGCGGTTGTGCCTGTGACTGATGTTTGCCTGAAATTCGCAAATATTAATGCCTCCATCGAAGGAAACTTTGATTTAACTACGAAAAGCTAATTTCAGTTTCTATTACTATTATATTCAGGAAACACTAAGCTTCATCGGGAGGTTCGTTCAATTGACGATTTCTGTATTTTATTCGCGAGTTTGCCTTCCACGTTTGCCACCGTCGAAAATCCACTATGACAACTTGATTACACCGAAACTGGGCGATAGCTGGATGTTTATGGTGATGATATAGGCATTTATTTCTCGTGAATATTCCAAACTTGGTTAATTCGTTCGTGAATAATTGAACCATGTCAGCATAATTCGCCCGTTGCGATTCGCTTGGCGCAAACGAGTCGACGAATGATTTGATTGAAAATATTTGTCCGTGATTTTTCCTCACAATTTCGTTTTCTTTTACTTACCCTCGAAGCTTGGAACCATCGGTGGCATTCAAAGAAATCAGAAAAATAAATATTTGCGCTTTTTCTACCGAAATGACTTACAATTCGGCGAAAATTCGATGCGAGATTCTTACTTTCGTAAGCGATGCGAGATTCATCCTGGTAAGTGAATGGAATGAATGAAGTGAATGAAAGAAAAATGAAAAGAAAATGAGAATTAAAGAAAAGAAAACGGGGGAAGTTGAAAAAGACGGAAAAAAACTCAAGCACTTCATTGTTGCTGAACGTTCATCGATGCAATAATTCTCGGAATCAAAATCAATGCATTCCACTTCGATGGAAAATTAAAGGAAAAATCGTTGAAAAAAAAACAAAAATAATTCGATCAATTGACTTTAACTCGATTAAAGTTGATGCGTTGATGGTGGCGGTGGCTTAAAGGGTGAGTAGACAACCGAGATGGTTTTACCAAGTTTGAGCAAGTGACACAAACTGCCTGCCTCGATGTAATGTACTTGAGAAACAAACTCACCGTTTGTATCGAACCATCGCAAGTTGTGAGTAGCAATTTTGAAGCCTTTTTCTGATATTGAAAAATTGCCGCGACCTTATATTGCTACTGCTCATATTATCGGCCTTGCTACTGTTAATATTTTTTCGACTCTTTTTTACAATTGTCACGTGCATACAAATCGTTTGGTATTGCGTTGATGTCTCATTTCGTATTGTCTCTACCCCCGATTGCGAATGCAAAGCACGAGAAAAATCATTATCCAGCTAAAAAAAAAATTGATATTACTTAATTCGCGCGCACCAAACCACCGAACTGATGTCTGGGTCTGGGCTGGAATTCTAAGTCATTCGACCAAAATCGTTTGGAATTATTTTTTTCGTACATAAGACCATATTGGAGTGAAAGAGAGAGATTCCACTATTTTTCAGCGTGCCACCGGAATTATTTC